GCTGTGGGTAGTTAAGATTGCAGCTGCAATGTCCTGTAAACGTCCAGAAAAGCAGTTGTCATGTGACTATGGAGGGCTCACTCAAGGCATCTGAAGGATGCCATAATATGAACAGACATCTGGAGAAATGAGTTCATCATTCACTGCCAAGTGGGCCACTGTCACAGTGGAGTGATCACTCCTGACTGGTTTGTTGCTAAGCCACAGTGTTCTGATTGGCTTTCCACGTATATTGTCTCAAATTCCAGCCAATTGCACAGGAGAGATAGCTGTTAAGAACTGTCCTGTTATTAGGTTTTTGTTGTTCTTGTTTTGTTGGATTGTTTGCTTTAAATCCCTAATTTATATGGGTGTCCCCTCTGCTATCTCTTCAACAGTGTCAGTTTTTGCCCCTGATGCTGTAATCTGGCTATTGCCTCACTTTGCTATTGGTTTAGCAGATTAATCATCATTTCACACGTGAGCCAGTTGGAGAATTTAGACTGGGGATATTTTTGCACTTGAGTAATGGTCAGCAGTCTGGTTGGCTGGCAAGGATTCTCGTAGATGAAAGAGCTGGCACCTTATTTTATGAAAGGAACATTGCTCGGCTAAACAGGGAGAGGATATGCAGAGCAAAAACAGCTACATACAGCAAAAATAATAAAAGCACTTTGGAAAGTGGCAAAGTTGATTTGTTAATTAAAAAATCACAGAAATTAGGAAGCTTGAGGTCTATGCACATATGGGGAAGAAAGAATTTCTGAGCGGGTCAAGACTACACAATGCTGTTTTTGGAATCGGGTGAATTTGCTTCACTGCAAATCATAGTTACATGGGCTGTGCTCTATATCTCCTTCTGTAAAATGAGCAACGTTGTTGTTACGTGCCATCAAGTTGCTTCTGACTTCTGGTGACCCTTATAAGGTTTTCAAGTTATGTGAGATGCTCAAGGAGCAGTTTACTGCCAGTCCTGCACTGAGTTTTTATGACGAAGCAGGGATTTAATCCCAGCTCCCCTTAGTTCTAGTCCCAACACTCTATTTTACACATATTTCCCTCTTAATCCCAAGCAATCTTTTACAAGTGTGTCTCCCTTGAGTGAGACATCAATACTGAGAACTTACAATTCCAGAAAAACGATGAGGCCTGAAGAGACAGAGCACTATAGCCAGAAGCTGTGTGAATGACTGGCTGTGGGAAGAGAATGGGCCCACTGATTTAGGATGGGTGCATAACAACTTTTCCTAGTGCTCTGAAAAGAGCAGTGTTTTGTTTTGTTTTTGGCACTTTTTATTCCAGCTAGTTTTAGAAATTTGTTCAGGCCAACCAGCTTACAGGTTTATGCCTAGCCCTTCAAGGAAATAGCATTTAGGACAGGTACAGAAAGGGGAGCTTCACCTGGTGAAGCAGACAGTTCTTCAACGTGGTTCTCCATGAATCCACACTAGTGGGTTTAGACAGCGCTACATGGGCTGTGCTCTATATCTCCTTCTGTAAAATGAGCAACGTTGTTGTTACGTGCCATCAAGTTGCTTCTGACTTCTGGTGACCCTTATAAGGTTTTCAAGTTATGTGAGATGCTCAAGGAGCAGTTTACTGCCAGTCCTGCACTGAGTCTTTATGACGAAGCAGGGATTTAATCCCAGCTCCCCTTAGTTCTAGTCCCAACACTCTATTTTACACACATTTCCCTCTTAATCCCAAGCAATGTTTTACAAGCGTGTCTCCCTTGAGTGAGACATCAATACTGAGAACTTACAATTCCAGAAAAACGATGAGGTCTGAAGAGACAGAGTACTATAGCCAGAAGCTGTGTGAATGACTGGCTGTGGGAAGAGAATGGGCCCACTGATTTAGGATGGGTGCATAACAACTTTTCCTAGTGCTCTGAAAAGAGCAGTGTTTTGTTTTGTTTTTGGCACTTTTTATTCCAGCTAGTTTTAGAAATTTGTTCAGGCCAACCATCTTACAGATTTATGCCTAGCCCTTCAAGGAGATAGCATTTAGAACAGGTACAGAAAGGGGAGCTTCACCTGGTGAAGCAGACAGTTTCTCTTGTGCCAGAGTAAGCAAGGAAAGTATGTGACCGAGGCAGGAGGAGAAGCAAGGAGAGACTGAGAATAGAGAGGAGGGGAAATTCCCAGACCTCATAAGAATTATAGCAGAGCCCCTCCTAGTGGTCATTCTCAATCCCTGCTTCCCCCCCTTTTTTTTTCTTCCAGAGTTTGAATTATTTGAAACTCTCCTTGTCTCTTTTCTCTGCCACACCTTCAGTATTCTCCCGCCCAGCAGTTCAGATGGCTATTCTAGCCACAGTGTGGCTCATTCCCCTGATCCTTTTTGACATGGGTAGGGAGCAGATTTTCTCCACGTATTTTCTGCATCTTTCCCCCGTCCTTCTGTTCACAAGGACCTTTACAGTTCTAGATAAAGTTTTGGCCTGGGGCAAATGGATTAGAAGCCTGCCATGGGGATTCCTCTTACGGCCTGGGCTTCACAGAATTGGAATCATTGTCAAATACTCCTTCCTTCTCCTGACAATGAGAAGCAGGCAAATGGAAGGGCCAGGCTTTTCTAGGGGTAGAACCATAGTTGAGATATAGGTCTAGTGCTTGCTTTGGCTGGAAGGCATACTTCTTTCTTGCGAACAGGCAGTGGAGCTGGCTATGGGGAAACAAGCTTGCTTCTACCCATGGATGGCAGTGGGCTCAGTGGTTTACAATGGGGTGAGGCATGGGTGGAAGGAGAACTCAACATGGATCTCTCCGCCTTCCTTTCCAGCACACAAGTGGTTGCCACTGTAACAGTCAGATTCTTAACTGTGGGCAGGAGTCAAGCTTGGTTTCCCCAAAACATGGAAAAAGTTAGCTTTTCAGGGGGGAACTCCTGAAATCTCCCCTGCCAGTGTCACTGCCAGGGAACTGTGGTCTGAAGAAGTAACATTTCCAAGTTCTGGCTTCTTCAAAGAGTGGATGGGGAGGAGGATAAGACAGGGGAATAAGCAAAAAGCAAAGTGTACAGCTTGTATACCACCCCTTAGTGCTGAAAGCACTCTCTGGGCAGTTTACAAGTTAATTGTGCAGGCTACACATTGCCCCCACACTCGTGTGAGCCAGGTACTAATTGTACTAACCTTGGAAGGATGGAAGGCTGAGTGAACCTTGAGCCGGCTATCTGGGATTGAACCCCAGGTTGTGAGCAGAGTATGGCAGCAGTACAGGAGTTTAACCACTGAGCCGCAAGGCTCCTCATGGAGGAGCCTTGTGGCTCAAATTGGTTGGGAGGATTGCTAAATATTACTGGCATTTGCCTTTAACCAAAGAAGGACTGAAAAATTGCACTTGATAAAATGCTACAGCTAGTGAAGTTGTAGGCTGCAACTGTAACTACTGTACTGTACTGGGATATGATTATTTCTGTAGAGATGAAAGTACTGTAACCTGAGATATTGCTTGTTGAAAGCAAGGAGGAGTGTGAATTCAGTGGAAATAAGAGCTTTTTTATGCAACCTGGAAAGATAAAGAGTATCATTTCAACAAGCAATACCAAGGGTTACTTTCTCCTCCTTAACATTTCTTACTGATAAGGGAGTGGCAGCTCTGAAACTGCATTCTGCTTTGTGTGTTCCATAGATGTAGGTGGCATTTTGGGAGAGGTTGCAGGAAGGGAAGATAAACAGAAAGAAAGAGGAAGAGCATCATTAGATACATTAAGATTAAAGGGAAGGCACTCTTATCTACTTCCAGCACAAGTGTTAGCAAGAGGAGGAAGCCTAGATCTTATATAGTAGAGTCAAGGTATTAGGCAAGGCCTGGACTCAAATCCCCACTGAGCTTTGATGGCTTAGGCTAGTCACTTTTTTTTCAGCTGACCTACTATGGTTGTTGCAGGGATAAAAGTAGAAGGGAACAACCAAGGGTGCCCTTTGAGCTTTGTAGACGAAGGAATTCAAGATCTTCTGCAGAGGCCCCATTGCATCCCATAATCACCAATAACATAGGTTGGCAAACACCTGAGACAGGGCTTTCTCTGAAGCAGCACCTTAGTGACGAAACTCTATCCTAAGATAAATCAGGCTGCCCCCATCTTTTGTTCAGTTTCCAGCAGGCAGTTGAAATTATTATTTCATTGGGTGTTTGGATTTTGAAATGTTCATCTATATTTGTTTTTAAAGAATGTTAAATGTTTTAATTTTTTTGTCACTTAGAGGGTCTTGGTGGACAGATAAGTGATGAATGAATAAATCTCTTTAATAAGTGGATATAATATATACCAGTGCCACCATTGAAAATGGTAACCTGTTCCCCTTCCTGTGATACCTAAACTCAGATCTTAGGCAGAACATTCTTTGTATCGTCATGCCTTATAATTCTCCTCCCTTGCCAGCAGCAGTGGATGGATGTACAGTGGAAGAAGACAAGGAAACATGTCGTTCAGTAACATGAGACAGGAGGAAGTTTTAAAGAACAAGATGGAAGGAGGAGGAAAACACATATTTGATGTGTGGTGCAGTTCTCCCCTAATTTTGTTAAAGTATATGTCTGAAAAGTCACAATGTGGATGTGGATGGAAGCACTTGTGTTATTTATATGTGTGCAGTAATCAAAGAGTTGATGTTGGTTTTAGCTTCTGATTAAGTATACCCCTGATGCTAACTCCGAGTGAACCAAAAAGTGAAGCAGCCTCGAAAGGCTTTAGCAGAAGGATTTTACAGCAAAGAGGAATGGGGCATCAGTATTGCAGAGTTAAGATACATGGAAATCATTCATTACCAGTATTCGATAGCTAATGTATTATAGCACTAGCAAGGGGCCAAGGACCAAAAATGAAAGGAAATGATGGGAAAACCCCAGTTGCCAGAGTAAGGGAGGGCAGCAAGGCTAAACAACACTGGAAGTACAGAAGGAATACTGGGTATGGTTTAATAGACTTCAGTTATTTCAGTATCAAACAAAGAAGACAGTTTATCATGCTGCAGTTTAATTCCCCCTCTCCTTTTGTGTCTTCTTCTGCTCTAGTCTTGGTTCCTCTGACGGGATCTTCAAGCGAAGAAAAATAATAATGATGATGATAATAATAATTTTTCACTCAAGCCCTGCGAATCCGAATCTTCAGTCCTTAAACCATATCTTCATTGAGCTGCTCCTCTTCAAAGAAAAGTAAGAGACGTTGGGTAACACTACAGATGAGAAGCTTAAAAAAATCATGTTGGACCTCCCCGATCCAAAGCAGATTTTGCATTTGCATAGAAGAGCCTTGTCTTCTGCAAGGAGTCCCATCAATATCTACAGAAGTCATATAACCCTCTGTTCTAATAGCTCTGGAAAGGCCATTCAAGCCATGGTTAAGGGGATTTCACTGTATTCATCATGGGAAAGGAATAGCATTCACATCAACTAATCTCAAGTCCAAAATTGCACCATGGCTTGCTACAGCTTATGTTTGCTGGGAAATGAAAATGGAGGCGGTTCCCTCAAGTCTCATCTGCCTAGCAGCCTGACTCCAAAAAGATTTCTGTGCATGTTGAGAGGAACTAGGAACACTTGCCCAGTGGGGGCTTGAGAGAGAGTTTTTCTTCTAGGCCACTCAGTTGCTTAAAAAAACACACACACACACATAAAAACACCCTCAGACAAAGTGGGATGATGGGTGCCAGCATTTCAAATTGCTGTAATTCCGTTCAGATGTCCTAAATATATTAGAAAACCAGTCCAGCACATTGCATTGGTTCAGAATGGGATATGGCTTTGATTAGGGCACTCTACCAGAACTCTAAAACTAGATTGGCCTTCACAGCACAGACGTCTCCCACCAAACATAAGTTCCCTTGTGCAGTAAATTCTCTCATCAGGTGACACGTTGTGTCCTGGTTAGTTCAAAAAAACAAAAGCAGAAGCGTTCCTGACTAACAGAGGCCCAAGGCGTGGGCTCTCCTTATAACATCTCTCCCCCTGTCAGCCGCACAGGAACACCCACATGCACACATCCTTGGCACCTAATCACTTGTCTCCTGACTTTGTTGTCCTCCTATTCCTATTTCATTTCTCTAATGAATGCATTACAGAAATGAAAGCCTAGCAGCACCTCAGGATGATGAAATCACTTCCAGCCTTTCTGTCCACAAACTGGGATTCTTCATCCCCATAGGAAAGGAGGTAGGCCGTCTTAGGCTCATGAAACCAAACTAGTTTGATTTGGAAGGCGTTGCTAGGTATTTCTCTTAAGAATGGGAGCTTTTCCCACCATTGCCACTGGCAAATGTTTAGGAAACTTACTGGAGGTTTATTTAAAATAAGTACAGTAAAAAATAAATGAATGACTATATTGGCATAAGAGCACTGAGGTTGTACCGAAGTTGTACCCCAGGCAGACCACAGGGGCCAAGGCAACTGCCTCAGTCAGGCACGTTTCTGCACAGCTGCATTGTCTGGACAGAGTGGGCTGCATTCCTTTCCCCTAAAAGTTCGAGCCTTCTCCTTTTGAGGTTTTGGGTGTCTGTTGTTGTTATGGTTTGATGCTTTTCCTTATTCCTTTTCTCCACTTTGTTCTATTCCTACTTTAGTTGTAGCATTTCTTTTGGCTTCCTCTACATACAGATGACAACAGCAAAAAAAGAAAAAGAAAAAAAAATTAAATGCAAGGGGGTTTGGGTAATAGTTGTTGCTGTAAAGGCAAATAAAAAGGAAAACCCCTAGAGCATAGTACACATGAACACTCTCAGCAAACATCTTGTAAACAAAATAAATGGTATGGGCTTAAAGATAGTGGAGGCTTCCTGACTGATAGATGTGAGGGTTTGACATTGTCATCTGTACATGCCGTGCATGCACATACACACATAACATGCACCAGAGTCGGTCACACAGCTCCACGCACTTTCCTGTTTCCCTTTCTCAGACGACCAAAAAAAAAAAGTGTGGAAGAACAAGTATCTCTATCTTGCATCCGTGAGAAAGATCATCATTATTTCTTTTCCCAAAGGTCTGAAAGAGGTCCTTCGCTGTCTCCGTGCCCCACACTGAACTTTGGGGATAGGAGCTTTGCCAAATTCACCTCTGACCCTCCGTTCCATCTTCCCTAGTAAATGTTTCCACCATCATGTGAGGAGGGTTACTGGTTGTCACAGGGCAATGCCACATCATATACTTAGGATAGGTAAGAAGGTTCTATACCACAGTAGGGATGGGGATGGGAGTAGGGGTAGGATTGTCTGATTAGGAATGTGCCAGGAGGGTGCTGCAGGGAACGGGTTACTGTGCAATCTGTCCAGGGCAATTGCATTTGGGCTTGCAACACCTGAGTTGCCTCCCGAATGACCGCATGGAAAAAAAAAACGGTGGATGTCTAGAGACCACCTGAAGCCCCTCCCCTATCTGTCACAGTGATCCCCAGCTTCTTCATGAGGCATCTGCAAGGACCTCTGGAGCAGACAAAATCCAGGAGGTGCAGGTGAGATTGGGTAGCTGAACCTCTGTCCAAGTGCAATGATTTTCCCATTCCAAATGGAGAAACAGGGTTAAGGAAGGTAATTCTAAGGGCTGCCTTTTCTCCAGCTAAAAGCTGTGGTCCTCCAGGCCACCCATCACTTCTCCAGATGTCAGAGGAACACCCTGGATCTTTCCCACACATGCACACATGTGCACGCACGCACACACACACACGTAGACACACACTCCTCTGTACCTTTGCATTTGATATTCTTATCAAAGGCCTGCTCTTATAGAGGAGTCACAAAGCCTGACCTTGCACAGCTGCAGGACAGCTGTTGCATGAAACAAGGAGGGGATCTTCTTCCTGAGGGATATGGTCAAGGAGTGAGTAGCCTACAGAAGACTGTAGTGTAGATGTCTGGGTGATATAACTGGCTGCTACAAAGAAGAGCCACCTGCCTGGTGCTTCATCTTTGGCATGATCCAGGTCAATCCCTGTCCATTAAAGATAGTGGAGGCCTGGATTTAATAGATTCTAAGACTGATGTTTTGCTGCTTCTGCCATACCAGAGGCCCTCCCCACCTAACATCTTTTGTGAAATACAACTGAGAAGTAAAATATAACTTTCCAGAGAGAGAGAGAGAGCACTTTAAGGCTACAAAAAGAAAATACTTTTTAGTGTAACTGTTGGACAGAGCCATCACTTCTCATGATGTACACACTCATTTCATATCATGATTCAGGTCTATGAAATGATACAAAACTATTTGCTGGGATGAAAAATGGAATGAGTGTCCACATCGCAAGCAGTGAACCTTCTTTTACATCTCAAAGGAAAAGGGGGAGAAGAAAACCCTTTTGTCTCATTTCTAGCCAAGCCTTTATAAAGATTCAGAGTTTTCAGGTTCAATTTTGGGACAAGAGCAGAGATCAAAAGCAACATTTTGGATTGGAACACAACCCCCTTCCGTGTTGTGAAAGATTTGAAAGGTGTCCACTTCTAAACCCAAGGTTACCATCTGTTTCCTTAAGAACACCAAGTCATGAAGAAGTTCTACAGGTGTAGAAATGGAAATGATTCCTGCCCTTGTGCTCTTAAGAAAACAGACATCTCCCATCTTCTTGTTCACATTTTTCTTTGCTTCCCCCACTTTTTTTTGCAAAGTATAAGGCTCCCTTGCTTTGCCTAGCTGCATCGGATAGGGAATTAGTGTCATTTAAATCTTGAGATTCTTGGATGTGCTGAAGCTGAACATGACTCCAGCACCAGACAAGAAAACACCCACTACAGCATTTCAAGTACTATTAAGATTTTTATTTTATTTTCTCATGAAAGTTTCTGGAGCATGGCCAAACTGAGGAAGACTGCTACCATCCAACTCCCCAAAGCCTTAAAAAGGGTAGCCAAGTTAATTAAATCTGTCAGTCTGATCAATATCTGACTGAAATGCTATGTGTCCACATGAAAAAACATCAAGAATACAGGGAATATTTCCAGAATATGAAACACTGTAGGTCACCGTATTGAAACTGCCACAGCATCATTTTAGTTATTAGATTAGTCCAGTAATTTTTTCCACTGTTACAGAATTCAATTCAGATCATCCAGTCTGGTTGCTTTCTGACTTAAATGATTAGCAGTAGCCAGAATGGGTTCCCTGTTGGAGATGTGTGGGGAGTTTGTAGGAGTGCCCAGAAATGGGGAAAGTAACTTTTTTCAGACTACAACTTCCACAGCATCCGAGCTGCCAGACTAACTAGGGGAGTTGCAGTCCAAAAAAGTAATTTTTCAAGTTTCTGGTTCAGATGAAAGTGACCACAAATGAACAGCTCCTAGAAATTGCACGAGATGGGAGAGTACAGGTTTACTCTTACTAAACAAGCTCTGAATCCTAGCAGTTGACACACACAAATTTAACTCTTGGCATCTGCTAAGGTGTGACCGTTGGGTGGAAGCAGCACATGGATGGATGGAATGGCAGTGCCATCCAGCTGTATGCTACCTTGTTTGAGTCCTAAAGAAAATGAACATAAACACAGAGGAAGAACCTGGAATGGGATGACATGGAGGACTTTAAATTTTGGTGGCTGGATAGTATGGGCAGCAGAAAGAAAGATACACACAAATGTGTATTTAAAAGGGGGAGGGGATTTTTTAAAAACAAAATATATATTAGGGGGTTTAAAAGAACCAATTTTGTTTGCATTGAGCCAAGTGCAATGGAGTGCATAGTTTTAATATCTTTGTATGTTAAAGATTGTTAAGAAGAAGAGAGAAAAATCTATTTTTGTTGCAAAGTCCTCTGTTCCCAGGGACTCTAAATAAGTAGGGACAAAAGAAAAACCCAACCTTTGTAAGTATGGGGAAAAACTTTTTCTGTTTATTTTTTCATTTTGTTTATTTTTCCTTTTTCTTGTTTGTTTTTTAAATCCTTTTTTTTAAAGATTGATAATGATCGGGTTTGGTTTTTTTGTTTTTTCCTTTTCCTCATTAGTTGTGTCGTTTTATGGGAGGGCTGAAGGCAAAAAAATTTCACACACAAAAATAAAATGGTAAAAAAAAACACTGTATCGGGTTAAAAACATTGAAGAAAACTGCAACATTAAAGATCTCAATCAGAGAAATTGAGAACAAGAAAAATGTTAAAATCATAAAAGAAAAGAATTAAAAATACAGAACCTGGTGCTTCTTACAATATAAAGTACATTAAAATCTCTATTATACATAGTTTATGAACCAATTAATTGTTATCATAAAGCACATTTTAGGAAACACGCATTATCCCTTCTTTATGTTTAGCTGAAAGGGGCAGCGGGCTTTGCAGTCAAACGCACCAGCAGCATCTGGCAGCTTCTCATGGATCTTACCAGGTTGCCGAGCGAGATGGGTGATGGGAGAGGTTGCCAAGGCAAAGGGAAGAGGTTCCTGTTGGAGCAGAGACGGCTCTGAACAGGCGGCCATGTTTCTCTAGCTCCTTTCCCCTCCTTGTCACCCTCCACTGCTGCCACTGCATCACCTCCTCTGTTGTGTTCTTCTGCCTTGTCTTTTCCCAAAGAGAGCTAAACAAAACAGTAGACTTTTGAGTTTGGCCTTCATTCCTGCTTCCTTTCTTTGTAAGCCAGGCAGTTTGTCCGTGCATGCACTCTCTCGCTCTTGCTGTCTCCCTTTCAGGGCTTCTCTTTGGAATTAGGAGCCAACTTACTGCGATCTCACCAGCATCTCCTCTGTTGCACCCCTTCCTCTCCACCCAACCCCCTTGAGTTGGTCACAACCTCTGCTTGCCCTTTCTCACAGTCTTTCCAGTATGGCTGGGAGAGTCCTTTCCCTCACCTTTCTTCTGCCCTAGTTGGACTGCAGCACAGTACAGCACAAAGCAGAACTCCAGATCCAAATCCTCCCTCACAACCTCACAAGCATAGAAAGTTGACTGGAGAAATTTCTCATCCTGGAAGAACCAAGATGTATGATTTTTGCCTTACTCACACCATGCTTCACTGGCCAGCTGACATAGTGCCTTTGTAAACCCATCTTCTGCTGGAACAGATGGACCACGTGCTCTGCCAGGGGGTGGGTGCTGGAGGTTCCACCCTTCCCCTTGTAATCCATGTGCTCAATAACAGGGGAAAGCAATAAAAAGCCTAAGCTTGACCAGCAAGAGGGAGATACTATGGACAAAAGCAGTGGTGCCTAGTCCCCTTTGACCTAGCCTCTGCTGGCCCATTCAAAACTGGCAGCATCAAAGAGAGGGTGAAAGCAATATGGATGGCCCCCAGCACAGTATGTCTGCACCTGAGCGTCATCACCACTTTGCATGGAGACCAGAGCCACCTGTTGGCATAAAGGGGGCACGCCTTTCACCTCCTCTCTCCCAGATGGTGCTTAGTTGGGTGTCTAACATGATCAAAACAGACAAAGGGCCAGTGGCTCCCTGGAGGATATGTTAGTGTTGCTTGAGTGTCCCAAAATGACTTCATTTTGGGGTGGAATCCTCTAGTAGAGCTCCATCTAGCAGAGCTCCCAAGACCTTCCTTTCCCTCTGATGCATGGGGGGAGGGGGACATGTCCCTCTGCTTTACCTTCAGCTCTTTTGCCACCAACAACCCCCTGGGCCCTGGAAAGGATACTCAAGCCCTTTTTATATATGGAGCTCTCTTCCCTCCTTTCCTCCTTCACTTTTGTAGTTGAGCACCCTGTCCTTTCTTACTAGAGATCTTCAGTAGCTCTCTCTCTCTCTCTTTCTTTTTCTTACTGCCACTTTCAACATGTGCTCCCCCAGTAATCCCCAACCCACTTCTCTCGCTCGGCAGCAAAACGTTGAGATCCACGAAACTGCAGCTTCCCTGACTGCATCCTACCCTTGCCCCTTTGAACAAGTTTCTTCCTTGGTTAAGAAACGCAGTATATATATGAGTACAGTACAGTATATATATATAGTACTAATGGAATTTGGTGTGCTTTTTCTCCTCATTCCCTCTACTCCTTGCCTCTCCCATCCCTTTGTGTCTTTGAGTCTGTTCTTCCAATTCCCCCCTCCCTCTCACCCCTCTGCACTTGAAAATAAAGAGTAGTTCTTTGTCTGTTTTTGTTCTTTCTGAAGTTTCTTCCGTGTCTAGCAGAATGCAGGTAGCCATATGTTATAACTGTCAATATTGCTTCACGACAAAAAAAAAAATAGGGGGAAAAAAGAAAAAAAAAAGAAAAATCCAAACTGTTTATCATTTTTGCCTGAGCTTTCTTCGGCTTTCTCCATTGGAATGGCTTATTGTGTTATGTGAATTTAAAAAGAAAAAAGAAAAAAAAAGAGAGAAAAAAGTTTTTAAAAGTTTTTAAAAACCACAAAAAAAACATATATTAAAAAAATAAAAAAAAATCATTGGCTTCCCTCTTCCCCTGTCCCCACCAATTCCTTCCTCAGAGCAGAGATGGGAAGCCCAGTGGAGGGGAGTGCCGAGGGCTCTAAAATAATATATGTGTGTCTGTATTGGTGGGTAAACTGGGGGAGGCAGTGTCCCATCTTCCCCATTTCCATGCTTTCTGGAGGAGCTGCTCAGAAACATCAAGAATAGACCCATTCCCTCCAAACACACATCCCATCATCTCTTTGTTCAAATTGTAAAGTGCCTAAAAGGTTGAAAAAAAATTAGCGGCATACATGATACTTGAGTTCCTCCTTTTTTTTCATCTGAGTTTGGGCATCTTCATGTGATGCCTGCCGGCACAGCATCTACTCACCAAGGGAGGCCTGCTGCTCCTCCGATTCCAGCTATTGATCCAGCAGCGAGAGCAACTGCAACTAGAGCCACCACAGCATAGGTTCCAGCAAGCCCTCCTTTCAGGTTCTTCTCTGTGCGCCAGGTTTACTTCCAGCAGAAGAGAAAAAAAATGCCTGTGGAAAGACAGCAGAAAGGGTGCCAGGGGCAAGGGCCTTGCTGAGCACTCTTCAACCATGCAGCTCCTCTGCCTTCAAACTGAGGAGTTTATCCCACCTGTTTTATCATGATTTAGGCAGACCCACACTCAAAATAGGAGCTTGCCCCCATGGCATCTAGTTTGAGCCAGAACATCACACCAGACCTTCAGTTTTGCCTTGGGAGCCCAGTAGTGAAGTGCAGAGGCCCTGTTTCCAGAAGAAATCTACACATTTTTTTCACCAGAGGTAGATGTGATCAGGAGGAGGCGATGAGATAAGAGCAACATAGCAGTGGTCTCTCTGATAGGAAGACCTAAATGTGCCAACAGGGCTCTTCCTAAAAGACCACAAAAGAGGCCAAATGTTTACCAGGAAATGGTGCTCCTGGATCCTCTGGAGGCCTAGATATTACTTTGGAACATCTCAGGCAGCCTGATGAACTTTGGCGCCCTGCTTCTCCTCCCAAATCAAGCCCAGCAGCATGGGGAATGTTTGATAAGGTCTTCCATTACTGTTGCTTCCTCTTGCAGAGGCCGGTCCTCCCCAATGGTTCCATTTTGTTGTCTCTGGCTTTGATCCTGGGGTGGCCTTTTGTGGGATGTGGCTCAGAGTTTCCCTCCCTTGGGTCTCTTTGTTTTTAGAAATAAGGCTTAGCCCCATGCACTGAGGCACCCCATTTTGACTGGGGCTCATTGTGGATGTTAGGCTAACACTTGCCTTTTCCTCCGCGCAGAGAGAGGCTGTTTTTGGCAGAGGTGTGGTTTTATCAGAAGAATGCCAGTCCAAGGCACGCCACACGTGGCTTCATTTAGCTCAGGCCCAAACGAAGGTGTCCAATTCCATTTTCACCCATACCGGCCTGGTACTCCACAGCAGCAGCCTCCCAGCTCCTCTCTTCCCCCCCCTCCCTTTCAGTGCTGTCCTGCTCCTTGTGAAGCTGTTCATTGCTACTAGTTTGGTTTTGAAAGAAAAAAAAAAGAATTCATAACCCTGCAGCCGAATTAAGGGAAGTGCCTTAAACTGATGCCTTTGCTGCCACCAGCAAACAAACTGAGACAGGAAGAGAAATCAATCAAACTGTATGCATCCAGCTTCAGTAATGTGAACAAAAGATGTTTACAGAGATTGCAATCAAACCGCCTCTGGGTGGGGCTCGTGGGAGCCCCTCCCTCTGTTGCTAACCATCCCCACCTGCTCTCCCCCCTCCCTCTGTGCAGCTTTCACACACCAGAGGGTAGCTGAGGCCTACCACAGGGCTTCCTCTACTTAACCAGCCTCCATTTCATGTCGCTTGCCTGATCACCCCCAAAGAAGGGAACCAGCTGCCATGATGTGATGGGCCAGCTCCTCCAGTCCCCTTCCTGTCCCAGTCAGCCCTCGGCACTACCCCTCCCTCCCCAAGTGCCACTCTCCGAGCGGGGTGTAATACGCATGTGTTAATTACAATTTTTTTCCATAATAAAAGTTTATAGATGCAGCACCTTCTTTAACTGATTGAATTAAAGAATGTTATTGACTGTAACTGTCTCTGTTTGGCTTCCTTGAGAGATAAGTGGCCACTTGAGTTTCCTTCCTACTGCCCTGAGTGTATATGATGTACAAGGCGGTGGCTTTGGATCTCTCCAGTCGCTCGCTCCCTGCAATATCAAGGCATGTGTGCTGTTGTCTTCTTGAAAGGCTGCACATATAGGCGGAGTGTGCGAGCTGTGATGATTCCGGTGGATGTTGATAGGTGCCGTATCCTCTCCTGCACCCAGAAATGCCGGTTTCAGAGAAGTCACTGGGGAAAGCAAGCCTCTTTGCCTGCCAACTAGAGATGGGCACAAAGCCCTTCATGATGAGTCATCTTAAGTCATTGTCACGGTATACCTGCTGTGTATGATGACCTGTTAAGAGTCTGTGTTGTGTGTAGATGTGTACCTATTTCTTGGAGCAAAAATGTAATGTATTGAGTGGTTAAAAATTGTCTTTTTTTATACTTCTCCAGCTATCCCCTGTTGAGATTTTAGATTCCTCTAGAGTTCTGCAAGGGTAAGAGCAAAGTACAGAGAAAGCAGCAGGTGGGATAAAGGTTAAGCACTTCTCCCTTTCTCACTCCACTATAAAGCTCCCTCCTTTAATATTGTTTTGTAGTGACAAAGTGTCCATCTGGGTTTTAGGTCCATACCTTTGTAAATAATTTGCTGTTAAATGCTTAGGCTTCCCAGTACAAACATAAGCTCCCGGTGCAAATGCAAAACCTACTTTGGCTGCTGCAAACATTTGATATTTCTTCTGTATTCTCTCCCACATAAATGGTAGAAAAGGCAAGAGAGATGTGCACATCATAGGGTCACATATGAAAATAGTCTAACTTGTCTTCATATCTAAAGCCATAGAACTAAGAGCTGGGAAGGAAGAACTGAGGTATTGACTACCATCTCAGCTTATATGTAGCTTCTTCAATGGTGAGCCTTGGTACTGGCATCTACTAGAAGCTGGCAAACTGATAGAAGTATTCTGCAAACAGACCAGCAGTAGAACCAATACTATCAGTTGTTTCGTTTCCACTGTTCTTGTTCCTAGTTAAGCTGATTTTGTGGGCCCTCTGACCAAAATGAATAGTACATGTGTGCATTCAAGGACCTAAATTCAGTAGCTATTCCCAACTGGAATACACCCACTGAATCAACTGCTGAGTGATAAGTCAGCCTACTCCAATTTACATAAATCCCATGGATTCAGTGAGGGCACAGCTATACTATCAGCAGGGAACAAACTAGTGTGGGCCACTTGGGAACAGTTGGTCTTGAATACATTGTTTTAATCAAGCCTGACTGCTCACATGGAAATGGCTCCTGCTGATAACATAAAGTGGCTTAATACGCAAGCGGTTTCAGGATACTGAAAATTAATCATTTCCCCTGTTAAGCAGAAGGCATGGGGAATTAAAAAACTTTTTTTACCATATGTAGACTATCACTGATGCACTGCATCAGGTTTTTTGTTTTGTTTTGTTTCGCTTTTAATTCTTTGCCTTTTCTTAAAGGGCTGGTCGAAAAAGTGCCTGCAGCTGAAGCCACCACTGTGGATTTGACTGTGAGTGGTTTCTCAACCAGTGCTTTAAAGTGAGACAAAGGAAAGATTTTTAATTTTTTATAACTGATGAAGCGCATCAGCAATAGTCAACATGCAGTCAAAAAAAATCCACATCCTCTGACCTCTCTAAACAAAGGAATTGATTGATTTGATTTGATTTGTGCACCACACATTAGTGTGAAGCTCTATTCTGTTTATAGTAAAATAATAAAGCACAACAGCTATGAAATTACAATAAAACCAATCAACAGGTAAAATCTTGCTTACAAATCCACAGTATTGGCAAATTGAAAGAGGAAGCCTTAATTTGGATCAGTTCCAGCAATCACTGATCCAAACCAGAGTGAGCCTCTCCTGCCCTGGAAAAGTAGAAGCTTCTTGTCAGAGTCCAGAAAAGGGTGGGTAAGAATGCTCTGGGGGCAGGCTAGGACCCTCCTGTTTGACTCCCTGGCCTCTGGTGTGCCTCAAGGTTCTGTTGCATCCCCAGTGCAGTTTAGCATCTACGTACATGACACTGTGGGGTAAGGTATCCTGGGGTTTGGGGGTTCTGTGTCATCAGTAGCTAACTCTCTCTTTCAGACCTTGCCATTTAATTCTAAGGAAATGGTCTTATCTCTAAAACCAGTGCCTTATACCTGTAATGGACTAGATGAGGACAGACAATGTCAAGCTTAATCCTAGCAAGACGGAGGTGCTCCTGATCAGTCATAAGGCATATCAGGGAGTCATGAACCCCTCCCACTTTAGATGTGGTTACACTCCCCCTGAAAACTCAGGTTTGCATTTTGGGTGTAGTCCTGGATTCATCCCTGAGCTTGGGTGCCCAGGTTGCAGCACTGGCTGTGAGTGCATTGCACAGTTAAAACTGGTGCACCAGCTCTGCCCATTCCTCAAATTGGTTTCAGTGACACCTGCCTTGGTTACATCCCATTCAGACTACTGTATCACGTTCTATGTAGGGCTGCCTTAGAAGATGGTTCATAAACATCAGCCGATTCAGAATGCTACAGTCAGTCTACTGACTGGAGCTGGTTACAGGGATCACTTCTTTTTTCTTGCAGACTCCTCTTTGACACCCATATAGCATGTGCAT